TTGAAATCTAGTTTTCCAAAATTTAAACTTTTATAGAAAGGGCACAAGGTTCCAAAATTAGAGGGCAAAATCTTATTACAGAGTATTCCACAAATTTTGTTAAAAGAGTCATGAAGACAGTTGTTCCTAAATTTCAAGATAGAACAAGGGATTTGTGCTCCAAAAGAAAAAAAAAGAAACAATTTTTCAAAATTTAGAAATAAAACCAGGGGCCAACCATTGATGAATTAACCAGGTTCTAAAAGCTAGTGTTTTAAAAACAATGAAAAATCCTGCACAACCTTATATGTTTGTAAAATCCTGCACAACCTTATATGTTTGTAAAATCCTGCACAACCTTATATGTTTGAAAAATCCTGCACAACCTTATATGTTTGTAAAATCCTGCACAACCTTATATGTTTGTAAAATTTATGGACATCGGTTTAAGAGTTTTTACTCCACCTAACATTGTTTTCTTATTTCTACCTAATTAAGTAGAGTTCCAAGTATTCCAGTCCTGTTTATATGTGACTATGTAAGAAGCATAATAATGAAAGATAAGAATCCTATTCTGTCCAAGTTGTATTGAAGAGCTCAATATCAACGTCTCTAATCTTTTTCAGTAGAATGGAAACAATAATACTCCAGTATCTAGCTGTACAGTGTACATAAAGTACATTTCTTTTTATGTAAGGTAGTAATTTCTATTTGTTTGTGTGTATGTCCGATCATAACTCATGATGTTCTTAGCTTAGTTTAAAAGTTTTAAGTTGATTATGTCGAATTTTATAACAGATAAAACTTAGTTCCCAGGCAACGCTTGGATCCTGCGCTAATATCTATATATAATGTAATAATGCATATAAAGTAAAATAAAGCTTTGTCCGTCTGTTTGTATGTCATATCATGAACCCCTTGACCGATTTGCCTCAAACTACGATTGGGGAAATCTACTGTTATTATATTTGTAAATAGTTATAATCTTCATGAGTTAACCATTACAGGCTTTCAGCTTAGTGTCTTTTTTATTAGGCTTAAACTTTTTAGGTCCTATAATAATAAAACAGAGGAATTGAGTCTTTCTAAACTTTTTGAATCTCTATATCTTTGCAACCAGATGGTGTAAACTTTTAATATTTCAAACTTAGGTATTTGATTAAACAGAGTTCATATAGTTTGAAATGTCAAAAGTCTATGACATTGGGTTGCAAAGATTATATGATTTTAGTTTGTTGGAAAGACTCAATTGTTGTGTAAGTGTATTGAGTGAGAAAGTGTGTGATATTCTGTGAGAAAGTGTGTGATGTTCTGTGAGAAAGTGTGTGTGAGGATGGTATACTCGAGATGAGGATTTGGCTCTTTTCCAAAAGAAGGAATAACTAAGTAACTAAGTGGTGATCTCTCTCTCTCTACTCTCTCTTCTCGTATTTTTCTCCTTCTTTCCATCCTTCTCTTTCTCACTCACTCCCCTTCTGTCCATCCTTTCCAATCTCTCTCTCTTTCGCTTTAAATATCTCCTTATCTTCTCCCTCTCTCTATTAGTTTTTGAAACCCGAGAATCCCCTCTCAAATTAAAGTAAAATCTCTGAATAATAAGTTTTTAAATGCAGTAGCATGTTTATGCATAAAATGTTGAATGGTTCCCTGATATTTATGAGGTTTGGAAGATTCCTTGGATTAAAACTGAGGAAGAAGCGGCTCATAAATCAAACCTTAATCCTCCGTTGGGCAGCAGAGCTTGTTGAGATCTCTTAGTTCCTCAATCCTGAATCTTAATTCTTGAAACGTGACCCTCACTTTTTAAACCTTACACTTGAAATAAGTAAAAGAAAGATCAAAATATATTTTTTTTATTTTAAAATTCAAGTTCTCCCTAAAAAATTGAATTTTCCATTTCAAAATTATAGTAAACTTGTAAGCTTTATTGCTTGTTTTTCATAATTTTTTATCCAGTTTTAATAATTTTTCCCTCTAGATAATTTATTTCACTAAAACTAGTCGTTAAGGGATCGAATATATGGGAGGGCACCATTTTCAAATATATTGTTCTTGCTCGATCTCGCTCTGCTGAACTCGCTGAGTCGTTGCACCTTGGACAAACCAGGTCGAGATGCATTCTGACTCTTCAATTTGAATTAAATCTCATGTATATTTTAGTCATCTTAAAGGATTTGAGTTTTGGCAAACCCATTTCCTTTGCAGAGTTGTCTATATTCATACTTTTCTATTATTATTATTATTATTATTATTATATATTATAATATTATTCATTCTTCATAAGTATAGAGCCTATCATTCGGAAAGAATATATATATGACTATATTGAGATGTTGGTCTTGAAGTTCTCAAATTTCTGGTCCCCAAATTGACTGACTAAGAAAAGGTATGCATCTTTAAAGAATCTGGATTGAAAGTAACAATTAAATCCTATATGACACCACATTTCCTCCTCCAACCCCCTCCACTCCGACCATGTCACTGTCAGAGTTGTTGACATAAAAGAGACCAAAATACCCTTATCAAATTCCAAGGGAGGGGGTTAACCAGGGTGCACTATCTTTCAATTATTTCCCTGGAAAATATCGTAAGCTGTCGCTGGAACTGTTAAATGTGCATAGTTGATGTATTTTCTGGTCTGCATCTGAATTGAATGAGTAGAAGTATATTCAACCCAATCTAATAAACTAAACAATACTAAAGTCTGTTCTAACGAGATGTACTGAAGAGTACTGCAGTAACTTATAAAACTCCAAGGTTTAAATATACAGAAACATTGAGATAAAAGGAGAAAAAGGATATAGGCAGGGTAGTATAGTAGCTAGAATATATAGGATAGGGGACAGGGTAGTATAGTAGCTAGAATATATAGGATAAGGGACAGGGTAGTATAGTAGCTAGGATATAAAGGATAAGGGACATGGTAGTATAGTAATTAGGATATATAGGATAAGGGACAGGGTAGTATAGTAGCTAGGATATAAAGGATAGGGGACAGGGTAGTATAGTAGCTAGGATATAAACGATAAGGGACAGGGTAGTATAGTAGTTAGGATATAAAGGATAGGGGACAGGGTAGTATAGTAATTAGGATATATAGGATAAGGGACAGGGTAGTAAAGTAGCTAGGATATAAAGGATAGGGGACAGGGTAGTATAGTAGCTAGGATGTAGAGGATAAGGGACAGGGTAGTATAGTAGCTATTATATAAAGGATAAGGGACAGGGTAGTATAGTAGCTAGGATATAAAGGATAAGGGACAGGGTAGTATAGTAGTTAGGATATAAACGATAAGGGACAGGGTAGTATAGTAGTTAGGATATAAACGATAAGGGACAGGGTAGTATAGTAGTTAGGATATAAAGGATAGGGGACAGGGTAGTATGGTAGCTAGGATATAAAGGATAAGGGACAGGGTAGTATAGTAGCTAGGATATATAGGATAAGAGACAGGGTAGTATAGTAGCTAGGATATAAAGGATAAATATATAGGATAAGGGACAGGGTAGTATAGTAGTTAGGATATAAAGGATAAGGGACATGGTAGTATAGTAATTAGGATATATAGGATAAGGGACAGGGTAGTATAGTAGCTAGGATATAAAGGATAGGGGACAGGGTAGTATAGTAGCTAGGATATAGTGGATAAGGGACAGGGTAGTATAGTAGTTAGGATATAAAGGATAGGGGACAGGGTAGTATAATAGTTAGGATATAATGGATAGGGGACAGGGTAGTATGGTAGCTAGGATATAAAGGATAAGGGACAGGGTAGTATAGTAGCTAGGATATATTGGATAAGGGACAGGGTAGTATAGTAGCTAGGATATAAAGGATATGGGACAGGGTAGTATAATAGCTAGGATATAAAGGATAGGGGACAGGGTAGTATAGTAATTAGGATATATAGGATAAGGGACAGGGTAGTAAAGTAGCTAGGATATAAAGGATAAGGGACAGGGTAGTATAGTAGCTAGGATATAAAGGATATGGGACAGGGTAGTATAGTAGCTAGGATATAAAGGATAGGGGACAGGGTAGTATAGTAGCTAGGATATAGAGGATAAGGGACAGGGTAGTATAGTAGCTAGTATATAAAGGACAAGGACAGGGTAGTATAGTAGTTATGATATAAAGGATAAGTGACAGGGTAGTACAGTAGTTAGGATATAAAGGATAAGGACAGGGTAGTCTAGTAGCTAGGATATAAAGGATAAGGACAGGGTAGTATAGTAGTTAGAATATAAAGGATAAGGACAGGGTAGTAAAGTAGTTAGGATATAAAGGATAAAGGACAGGGTAGTGTAGTAGTTAGGATAAAAGGATAAGGGACAGGGTAGTATAGTAGCTAGGATATAAAGGATAAGGACAGGGTAGTGTAGGATTAAGAAGTTAAAGGGGGGGGGGTGACACGGTAGTATATAGTTAGTTAGGAGATAAAAGATAAGACAGGACTGTATAGGAACAAGGAGACAAATGATAGGGAATAGGGTAGTCTAGAACCAAACAGATAAAGAATAGGACAGGATAGAATAGGAGCAAGGAGATTAAGGATATGACAAAGTAAAACAAGAGTTAGGGAGATAAAGAAAGGAGTTGTATACGAGCTAGGAGATATAAGGATTGGGAATAGGGTAATCTAGGACCAAGAAGATAACAAATAAGATAAGAGTACGTAGTATAAGAGCAAGTAGATAAAGGATAAGAAAGGGTAGAATATGAACAAGAAGATAAATAATCGGACACCAGAGAAGTATTTTTGATTAGGGTTTGATCAGCAAAGTTACTGAGTCTTTGTCACCAACTCTGATTTTCTAAGCCCTTGATCTTTGAAATCCATTGTCGTAGACCTTTAGAAGAACTTTAAATTATGTTAGATCAAATAATCTGAGTTTGAAATATCAAAGGTTTCTACCATCAGAATCCTGAGAGAATTGGATTATAAAATTTGAGTTTGTGGCAAAGACTCAATTCCTTTACCGTACAATACACAAATTTGAAACAGATAAAAATAAGAATATTAGGATAAAACAATTTTATTATTGCGCATCTTCGTATAAATCAGTTAAAACACGTGTATTACAGTACAACTTATATTGTATACAACGTGTGTTGAAGAGACCGGTATCAAGGAGTTTGTTTTTTAAAAGCTGTCAATAGATTAAAAAGTGTTACTATAAATCCTGCCATATTAAAAATTCCTTGTTCTAGGCAAATGAGTCTGTTTTGACACATACCATCTTCCTGAAACATTGATCAAATAAAATGATGAATGTTATTCATAAAGCCAAAATTTCTAATTCAAATTGATCACTTCCCCACAATCAATGAATGTAAGGCCTTACATTCTTGCCCACAATGAATTGCAGATAAAGACAACCACCTCCCCTCCCAAAAATAATATTGCTGAATGAAAGCAAAAAGCCCAAAAATTAAATTTTTCCTAATTTAGTTTATAAATAGTAAAAAAATTGAAAAATCTAAACAAACTCATTTATAAAACTCGAGAACAACAATTTTCATTATTAAATTAATTCTGAAGTCAAATTATAATATGAGATCTTTTTACGGTAAACCCCTTGACCGTTTTTAAGACAATGCCAAATTTTTCATTTTCGAACATATCCGATTTGAACCATATTCATATATATACTTATAAAGAACTAGCTGAAAGGCCCGGCGTTGCCTGTGAAACAAACAAAAAAAAATACAAAAAAAATTTGTAAAAAATCGAATTTTCTACCGCCTTTGTCACTCCCAGGCTTCCCATGAGTGTCCACAAAAAATACAGCTCATTCGGTCCAGCCGTTTGACCGGTCAGAGGGAACATTTAACGAATGTCTTGTTTTATTATATAGATAAGAACCAAGAAACCAGGATACCGAACACTTTCAATTATATTTAATCTTTGATTTGTTTTTAAAACAGAATCTAGAGATCCGGTCTCCTCTTCACAAAACCGTCTTGAATTCATGATTCATTTTTACAGGAAATAATTTTTCAAAGCAAGCATACACGTTTCTAAGTTGAATTAATACATACTAAATATTTTATTAATAATATCAAGCAACTGAAAATATTGATGGCAAACATTGAAAATGTGTAACATTATGAAGTTTCACCATAAAAATTCTTCGGTGATTTTTTTTGCAGGCACACAAATTTAGATTTTACAATAAATTACTAGAATTATCAAAGGTTAGATCTAACTGTGTATTAGGTCTTAACAAGAAAATGTTTACTTTAAAAAATATTCACCAATATGATACATATAAAATTATTTGCAATTTAATCAATTTAACAGTTGTTTGTTAAAATATAATAGACATTTCTTTATTCCGACCATTCAATGCTTTATCTGGGATGGAATTTTAGCTATATATCTATCAGTCTTGAGACAAGCAATTAACATTTCAAATCTTTAATTTTTGCTAACTAACAATAATTGTGCTTGTTAATTTGTAGGGACGGACCAGTTTGTGACTAAACTAGTAAAACGTTTTCATTTGTTTCTTAAACACAAATTACATAGCTAGCTGTAAAACTATCATTGAATGGTTCACATTATATTTTGATACAAATAAGATAATTAGAAGCAAATATCGAGTAATTCTGTTTCACCATATACCATTCAAATATAAAACTTTAAAACATGTTTACAAAAAAGCTTAAAATAAATCATGAATGCAAGACGTAAATTAAAAAACTTCCAAGTTTGTTTTGCCATCTTGGTCAGAGAAAATAGTTTGGCGCCAAAACCGGAAGCTGAGGCCACGTGTTAAGTGTACACTACTTGACAATATATCATTTTATCAGTTTTCCGTTAACAATTTCTAAATATTAGTGCTTAAGTACATAAAAATTGAGCAGGATAAAGTGCCTGGCTCGAACCTAGAAATGGCTTTAAAATCCATATTGTTAAGAAAAGTATGTAACAAGTTGCACTTTTTAGCCAACAATTACAAATGGCTAGTACAAGGTTACAGTGGTGACAGGAAGAAAGTCCTTGTTGAATATATAATTTTATTCCCTTTTCAAACCTTTAATAAAGGTTCTTCTTTCATCGGGGGAAATCATTAATGAGCATAATTGTGATAAGATTTTGTCTTTGCCGCTGCACTGGTCGGAGGAGTTAAATCATCTATAGGAAAGGATATAATTTGGTCCGGATGGACGGGACTCAATGGCACAATGCTTTTCTTGGTTTTAGGAATTGCTCCGGTTTCCCTTCTTGGGTCAGAATGTAAGTTTTTATATTCAGTTTTACAATGAAGCCTAGAATTATTGTTTAAAGGATTCAACGGGTCTGAACTACTCCGGGTATGATTAGTAATAACGTCACTAGTCCTTAGTCGGGCTGGTGAGGTTTGAAACACAGAATGACTGTTATCTCCATGTTTAGAATCCCAGCTGCTATCAATATCACTTGTCTCAACGTAACCTGAATATCTTATTTTGGTGTAGCTCTCTCCGTTACTATCCTGTACCCGCGGAGATATTTGATTAAAACTTGAGAACTGGTTCACTAAACTACTTTCTTCCTTCTCGTGTTTACTCCTTCCTGAATCTCCATTCAATTGTCCTGAATGATCTTTAGAGGTTTCAAGTTCAAATGTTCCGGACTCAAGTTCTGAAAACCTGCTCCGCAAATCCCGAGAGAAGAGTGTTGGAACCCTACTTCGTGGTATCCCTGGACCGGAGTAGGTGAAGTTAGGAGAACCAGGCTGGGATACACTTGGAGAATACAATGTATCTGGGGAGGCTGACCTTTTGTATAGATCGAGAGTTACTGGAGCTCCGGTCAGCTCACGGCCTCCATTGTGCTTAGGTTGGAGGTTGTATTTAACTATGTTTGTGTAGGGTTGGGAAACTTGGGGTGGTTGAAAGTTTTGATTTGCTATAGAAAACCCCGATCTCTCAGCTTGGGATCGAACTATTGGACGAGGAGCAGGAGGAGGGTTGGGTCTGGGGACGATGGATTCGTTGGTCACAGCCCGAGAAGTGGCAGTTTCATGAAGGGTGAAGTTTGTTGAACTTTCCTCCATTTTCTGGTACCTAGCGCTTCGGAAGGAGTCAAAGGAACACAAAAAAGCCTCCAGACCACATATATACCCTAATATCTGAAATAAAAAACAGGTTAAAAAAAAAAATTTAAACTTTGATATTATTTTGTTATCGAGTAAAATTGTAAATTACCGCTGAAGCTAGGACGAACGGGTTTGAGTATTGTGGGATCCAGGACTGATATTCTGAACTGGAGTTGGAGATTTGAACGAAGAGGACGAGACTAGAACTGATAAGAAACAGAAATCCCACTACCAGGTACACAACAAATTGCTGAAAAAAATTAAGAGTTAACGTACGTATCAAACAAATGAAAAGATGAAGATATTTTTAACCTTCGCTCTTTTTTCTTGTCTGCCTATCTGGTTCATAGCTTTCTTGTATTTTTTGAAAACCTAATAAGCCATGTGAAAGTTCTCTCCAAGTTTTTTGTTTGTTTCCTTCTTTTGCCTGTCTGAACGTCTACACCCTACATGTCGGGCAAGTGTTTGCAAGCATGTATGTATAGTGGAACTTTGCGACACCAGATCCTCATCTAATATTAATTATTCTCCGGAGAGAAGGGAACTCATACAGGAGTTGTCAGGCTTCAGGGAAATATATAGAACACAGGGAAAAGACACACAGCGGATATATGAAACACACGGGTCAGAAACAGGGAATATGGATCACAGGGATCTAATATAGGGGATATATGGAACACAGGGATCAGATACAGGGAATATATGGAACACAGGGGTCAGATACAGGGAATATGGAACACAGGGATCAGAAACAGGGAATATGGAACAAACGGGTCAGATAGAGGGAATATTGAACACAGGGGTCAGATACAGGGAATATGGAGCACAGGGATCAGATACAGGGAATATGGAAAACCGGGATCAGATACAGGGAATATATGGAACACAGGGGTCAGATACAGGGAATAGGGGACACGGGGATCAGATACAGGGGATATACGGAACACAGGGATCAGATACAGGGGATATATGGAACACAGTGATCAGATACAGGGGTTATATGGAACACGCAGGGATCAGATATGGGAAATATAAAGAACACAGGGGTCAGATACAGGGATATATGGAACACAGGAATGAGATACAGGGGATATAGAGAACACAGGGATCAGATACAGGGGATATAAAGAACACAGGGATCAGATACAGGGGATATAAAGAACACAGGGATCAGATACAGGGGATATAGGGAACACAGTGAGTAAGGATTAGAAATAAGCTTTAAGGTAGAATTTAAAGCTTAAAAATAGTGAATATAATGCAAAAGCAGGGATAATGGGATCATTCAAAACTGATGCATGGTTTATCCCAGAGTTAATGACAAGAAAAGCCCAGATTAAGCCTTGAATAAAATTGATTTGTTGTGAATATTGAATAGTTTACCATTGAAGAGATAACATGATGAATATGGTTTAGTCTCTCCAACCCATGCATGATTTATCTTTAATGGATAAATATGAATATTCTCCGTGGGGAATGTTTACATACAGTCATTCTCAATACTACTTGAGAATCCACAAATGTTCAACTTAAACTGAGTGGAGTGAATTTAAATTCGTCCTGAGATACAAACTTGGAATTGTAATTCTCCAGGTTTTACGAAACCTTTCAAAGCTCTGTACATCAGTATTCATCTTATATATCATCATTTCTTGAAATATTTATAATTTGATGATATTAATGCGTATCTCATGATTATAAGTGTTGTTTAAACACTAATGATAGATGTATACGTAACACAGTTATCAAAATTATGTATTTTCATTTATATAAGATGGACTCTGTTCTGTTATTTTTCTTTATCCTAAAACCTATCCTATTCGATCATCGAAAAAAATCTTGTTAATTAATCATATCTTCCTTAATTTGTCTCCTTGTTTCGCCTCTTCTGTCCTAACTATAACAATATCATTTACCATCTTCCAATCTAACTATTTCATGCATTATGTGTAAAAGCATATTCTTCAATCCTTATGTATTTATCATCATCTGAGCTCTCAGTCTTATTATATAGAAACTTAATACCATATCAAAGCTGATTTACACATGAGTTTGTTTAGCTTTCTGAAATTACTAAAAATACTACTGTTGACTGTTTTAAAAGTTACACATTGAATATAAAAAGGAAGGCGGACTTTTATTTAGGACATGGCTTGTTTTTTAATTACTATCTGAAGTGCTAGGCGTTGTCCGTGGAATTTTAAAAACACTTTTGAAAATTAAAAAAAATTTATTTTAGCCAACATTATCCCCATTCCCCAGGGTACCCTCGGGTTTCCACAAAAAATTTCAGCCAATTTGGTCCAGCCGTTTGGCTAGCTCCACCATAGCCATAAAATATATAGGAGATTTTTTTACAAATGATATTTTTTTCTTTTGTTTTTACAAATGATATTTTTTTCTATTTTTTTATTCTATTTTTTTTCTTTAAAATCTATTTTTTTTTATTCGAATTTTTTCACGTGCAACGCGGGTAAACTTAAAACTTAAAAGTTTAAAATCGACAGAAAGGTTTTCACAGATGAAATAAGTTCTTAAAAACAAATAAAATACTCTTCATATGTAATGTTATAAAAAATTTAGAATTCAAATTTTAAAAATGTAAAAAAAATTCGTAGATAAAAAATATCCTCTGTCTACGAAAAAATCTTCTCTGTCTTTGATATGTCTTTGACATGAAATGTCCTAAATATAAAATGTCTTTCTTTGAAATGTCTTTCAATGAAATGTCTCTCTATGAAATGTCACAACGCCATCAATTTTATCTAATTACAATAAATAGTTTACCATTTTTCCATAGTCCATTGGGAGGAGAGCGTGAAGATGGGATATGTTGAGGAAGACGACTAAAAGGGAAAACATGGCGCTGAACACACTCACAACTACGAGGATCCGAAGTTTAGTGATGTGCGGCAACGCACTTACACTTAATTTGGCAGTTCCAGCGCTCAGCAAACTCGTAAAACAAGCAACACTAGTTATCTAAACATTAAACATAATTAGTTTATAATTTTGAACAGCTTCGGACAAATTATATTAAAATAAAGTTTGAATAACCAGCTATTAAATATATCATTTGAACTTGCCAGGGTTATCTCTAGTAATCTCTATTTGTCTGTTTTGATTTCTGAGCATAACCCCTGAAACGATTTGCCTCAAATATTGGGTTGACTTTTACAGGAAAAACTCCAGGTAAAATTGGGTTTCCAAGCTAGCTTATATAAATATTATGTAGATAGTAATGTGTTTTTTGAAAAAGGTTGAAAAATGATGATTCATGAATTCTTTTCAGATGCTCTGTCGAGAATGCATTCATATATATCAATCTTCACGGATGCACAAAATTAAGCCAGGATATTTATCAAGAGGTAAGGTTTGAGTCTTGGAATGAATTTATGAATAAAAGATAGAAAACCAGAACATGGAGACCGTAGGGATTTATAGATATATATATATATGAACGTCTCATATACAGCTATATTTATGTCAAGAATATAAAGGCATGTCTAGAATATGACATACATGTCTAAAATATATGATATTTATGTTTAGAATATAAATGCATGTCTAGAATATGATATGCAAGACTAGAATGTGGTGTGTCTGACTAGAATGCGATTTTATATCAAGAATATATATGCATGCCTAGAATATGATAAGTATGTCTAATATGCAATATGATATAAATGTCTAGAATATCATAAGTATGTCTAATATACAACATGATAAGTATGTCTAGAATATGATAAGTATGTCTAATATACAATATGATATATATGTCTAGAATATGATAAGTATGTCTATGCAATATGATATATATGTCTAGAATATCATAAGTATGTCTAATATACAACATGATATGTATGTCTAGAATATGATATATAAGTCTACTGAATGAGCCGGATGAGCATGATTAAGGAATGGTATATTCTATTGAATATTGACTGTAGTGAACATATATTAGCATTATGCGTCAAATGCCTTGAAACAATTGAGTATCTTCTCTTTATTAGTACATAAACTAAACTCCAATAGTACATCAGTATCTGTATCCCTGTATCACTGTATTCCTTCATTCCTGTATCTCTGTATTTCTGTATTTCTGTATTCCTTTTTTCCTATATCCCTGTATCCCTATATCTCTGTATTCCTTCAGGAATGGAAGATATGGAGAAAGAAGAATGAAGAAGGAGTAAAGAAGAATGAAGAAGGGGTAAAGAGTAATCTATTCTAAACCTGCATTTCTACTTTAGATCTTGTACTAATATATACTTCTCACATTTTCCTTCTAATCTTACTTTTGTAGGGTGAGATAGGAAAAAAAGATATTTGTGTGTGTTTGTGTGAACCTTAAATCGAGGGTGCTTGGTGCCCCTCATGAATTTAGATCTTATTTTCTTTATTTGATTGGAATGGAAAGCGTCTTTAAAAACTAGAAATTAACATCATAGAATTGTTATAACAACATTGTTTACTATTCAAAATTACTATTTATACATTTCACCATGTATCCCTGTATCCCTGTATAATTGCATTTCAGTATCTCTGTATCCATGTATCTCTGTATCTATATATCCCTGCATCCCTGTATCTCTACATCATTGAATCCCTATATATCTGAAAATTTAAAATTTTCCGGTGTAGAATATTCTAGTTGTGTATCCCTGTTTCCCTGTATCAATGTATCCGTGTCTACATGTATCCCTTTACACCTCAATATTTAAAGTTTCTCGCGCATAATATTCTGGTTGTGGGTCCTTGTATCCCTCTAACCCTGTATCCCTCTATCACTCTATCCATATATGCCTGTATCCCTGTATCTCTGCATCATTGTATTTATGTATCCCTAAAATCTTTAAAAAAATTGAAGTTTCTGGTGTACAATATTCTGGTTGTAAATTCCTGTATCTCTGTATTCCTGTATCCCTGTATCCCTGTATCCCTGTATCCCTGTATCCCTGTATCCCTGTATCCCTGTATCCCTGTATATCTGAAAAGTTGAAGTTTCTGGTTTAGAATATTCTGGCTGTGTATCCCTAAATCTCTGCATCCCTGTATCCCTGTATCCCTGTATCCCTGTATCCCTGTATCACTGTATCCCTGTATCCCTGTATCCCTATATCCCTGTATCCCTGTATCCATGTATCCATGTATACCTGTATCCATGTATCCCTGTATCCCTGTATCCATGTAACCCTATATTCCTGTATCCCTGTATCCATGTAACCCTGTATTCCTGTATCCCTGTATCCCTGTATCCCTGTATCCCTGTATCCCTGTATCCCTGTATCCCTGTATCCCTGTATATCTGAAAAGTTAAAGTTTCTGGTGTAGAATATTCTGGTTGTGTATCCCTGTTGCAAGTATCGGATTGCTGTAATCCTAATTTTAATCGTTGAACAAAGTGCTTTTGTAAATCTTCATAAAATAAGCTTTTCACCAAAATATGTTGCAGGGCCGCGGGGCGGAAACTTTTTAGAAGAAAATACAAGCAAGCATCTTAGAAATCCCGGATACAGAAATAAGTATCCTAGATATGAAATTAAACATCTTAAATATCCTTGTTGTATCCTGGATAAATTGCAAAAGTCTTTAATATCTTAGATACAGAATATAGTATCCTGGATAAAATAGTCAATATCTTATACAAAAAAAAACATAATTGAGAACAACAACAACTACTTTATCGGGAAATTAAAATTTTTTACTTAACCAGGGGTTTGCCCACAAAACATCCAGAGCGCAACGAACTTGGTCTTGGGAACCCCGGATAAATCAACTTCCCTTAATTTGCCTGTAAAGTAGTTGTAACTAATTATAAAACCACATTATTATTATTTACATTGGAGTCAGCCTTATATCTTAAATAAAATGTTGTATCCCAGACACCAAAAAATAGGTTTTTAATAAAGAAAAATGTAAAATTTTATCTTTTATGATTTTTTAATAAAAAAGTTAAACAGTCATGCCAGAGTAGTTCTTCAGCCGATATCCGAGATTTTTTCAGATATTGGCATTTTGCGATCTATCAGATTATTATGAATATTACTGACAGAATAAAGTGTATTTATAGAAGATATATATATACATCACATCTAGACAGAAAAGGGGAAATACATAATGGTACTGTGTCTTATTTCAAGTACGTTGGTGGTTATCATGAAAACATGTATCTATAAATCGTATAGAAAATTCTAGAATATTTGTTGAAATCTCGCATGTTCAATGAGTTCAATTGCATATTTAAAAGTTTTTTTTCCACAACTACACACACAGGCTACTGAGTACAGAGTGTGTAAACATAAAAAAAAACTATTTATATAATTGTAAATATAGATGGGTTTATGCCGGTATTTTAAACATTTTTGTAAATAAACTAAAAACTAAAACTAAATTTAAGAACTGTATTTTTAGATATCCTAAAACATATATATATATATATTGTGGAAGACGATGCCTGGCCGCGTTAAACAAGTTCCACAAGATTCAACAGAATGAGATAGAACAGATACGGGGCATAGTACTGAAAAACATCTACACGTGTGATATCGATATTGACTCTAGTTCTGAACCCTCTAGTAAGAAGTTATAAGAAATATATATACTGGAAGTTATCTATGCGTTTTTACTAGAGTCTGACTCACGTCCTCTATAATATATTATATAAATCTTATATAGTTTCTGATTTTTATGTTTTAGAATATCTATACAATAATAATGTATTTTAGGATATCTATACAGTAAAAATGTATTTCTGGATATCCTAAAACATAAATATATATATGGAAAACTGTCATCAGAGATATCTATGTATTTCGAAACTTAAATCACAAATATTTATGTATATAGTATTGATATCTATGTAAAACAAGGATATTTTTTATATCAAGGATATCTATGCATGATATAGGAGTTCTATACATATCAAGTATATCTTTGCAAATTAAGGATAATCCTGTGATCTTCCCAGGCTACATTTGTTGCATAAAACGTACTGGGTCAACTCTACACTTGGTAGTTCAGACTGTACAGTACGAGTGAATGCATTTACAGTACATGTTGTACCGGCTCGGGTCATGCAACTTCTAGAGGGGGTGCTTTGTATAACAAGGATTTAATTTGTACTTATCAAGAATATCTATATGCATATAAAGAATGAAGGAAGGATATCTTGGATATCAAGAAGTTAATCTACTTATCAAGGATATCTTCATATATTAAGGATATCTTCTATAAATATGAAGAATATATTTTTATATCAAGGATATCAAGATATTAATATATATATATATATATATATANATTTAAATTAACTAGATACACGATAAAATATTTAATATTTAAATTTAAATTAACTAGATACACGATAAAATATTTAATATTTAAATTTAAATTAACTAGATACACGATAAAATATTTAATATTTAAATTTAAATTAACTAGATACACGATAAAATATTTAATATTTAAATTTAAATTAACTAGATACACGATAAAATATTTAATATTTAAATTTAAATTAACTAGATACACGATAAAATATTTAATATTTAAATTTAAATTAACTAGATACACGATAAAATATTTAATATTTAAATTTAAATTAACTAGATACACGATAAAATATTTAATATTTAAATTTAAATTAACTAGATACACGATAAAATATTTAATATTTAAATTTAAATTAACTAGATACACGATAAAATATTTAATATTTAAATTTAAATTAACTAGATACACGATAAAATATTTAATATTTAAATTTAAATTAACTAGATACACGATAAAATATTTAATATTTAAATTTAAATTAACTAGATACACGATAAAATGCTGAAAAAAAACGATGATATTTTAAGAAACAAATTGCGAAAAGTTCGTATTATTAGTAAAAGGGTGTTGAACTGAAGAGAGCATCATAACCTTGAATTGTATGGAGGGAGATATGTTTAATATTAAACTTGTCTTGACCAGGAGGTTTATATCGTAAATATTGAAAATATCTTGTCATCCCAGGGTTATTCAATATTCATGCTACAGAACATTGTCCAAAGAATCCTATTGGTGTGTTACACGGCTCAGTTTCATTTGCCATAATACTTTTGCCATAAATACTTTTTCCATAGTTACATTTGCCATAATACATTTTCCATAAGTTACATTTGCCTTAATTACACTTGCCATAAGTTACACTTGCCATAATGGTTACACTTGCCATAATTACACTTGCTATAATTACACTTGCCATAATAAAAATTAAATTTGGTTAGAATTAACAAACATACATATATATATATATATATATATATATATATATATATATTTTAATTACAAATTAAATACAAATTACAAATCTAATTCAAAGACAGTTCTAATTCTAGCTGAGCACATTTTAACCGAACATTTCCAATATTTCACTTCTGTAGACGAGGCAATGGAGCTACATATAGGTGTAGTTGTTGCTGTCTAGAACCATTGGTTTACCCTTACTTGTGGTATCAAAGGTCACCAAAGGGTCCTCCATTGTGAGAAAATATGGAGCTGAACTTGTGTCAACTGTTCTGTTTTAAAACAATGAGAAAACTAAAGTTTCCCGCATTTACAATAAAAAAAGACAGATTTATATCTTTTTAAAAATTAGAAAATTATGACAAAAGTAATTAGAGCAAGTGTAATTATAGCAAGTGTAACTATTATGGCAAGTGTAACTTATGGCAAGTGTAACTTATGGCAAGTGTAACTTATGGCAAGTGTAACTTATGGCAAGTGTAACTTATGGCAAGTGTAAGGCAAGTGTAACTTATGGCAAGTGTAACTTATGGCAAGTGTAACTTATGGCAAGTGTAACTTATGGCAAGTGTAACTTATGGCAAGTGTAACTTACGGCAAAGATATTATGGCAAAAGTATAATGGCAAATGAAATTGAGCCTGTTAGACCAATGATATGCCTTGACGATTTATCCAAAAGGTTTATCCAAAGGTTGCAATCTTATACGCAAAATCGATCAGTATTTTGCCAATTACTTACTTTAAACAAAAGCTAAAAACAAGTGCTGTATATTTTTAAAATTTACATGTCTAAGGCTACAAAAAGTATGAATGATTGAGTTAGTGAGATAAAATCAAAGACAGGTTCTACGTTGCGACACATCAAAGTCTACCCAGCCTTGAAAAAAAGAAACTTTTCAGAACAGTCTGGATCAATGTAGATTTTCATATAAATCCATGAGATCCCTGTTTTCTCCTCATCGATCGGAAATATTGCTGCTTGCTTCTGATTGGTTAAGAGAATTAATGTTTATAAAGAGAACGCATTGATATTTTCGGAGGAATTAAAATATACTTTTTGTGGAGTTAAGTCCTATACATACTTAATATTTAAAAGAGGTGATGCTTCTCCGGGGACATGGGTATTTTGTTTGAATAATTATTTTTCTATAGACTGTAGTTTTGTACTTGGCAGGTTTTGTACAGAAATATATTCGGTAACCTCCAAAAAGTTCTATAAAAAACGTTTTCTGAAATAAACTTTTTTTTGCGGTGACTTTCTTACATATTTAGATTGATATATTCAGGGGTCAAATTATAATGATCACACTTATGCAGCTCGCAATTCAACATATAAAGAAACTGATTAGAATATGGAGTTTTCAAAAATACTTTTCAAAAGTATAAAACTCTAAAAAGTGTGCTCGACTAGGATGTAGTATATTGAGGTAAATTTGGGCCAGCTGACGTAGTGGTAATTGAAAAAAATGATTCTTTGTTGCAATTTTGCTACATTTATCCGGCTACAAGTTTCTTATTATTTCCTAATAAAAAAGTAAATTGTTATGGGTTTTTCGAAAATTAATATTTTAAAATAATATGAAGCATTTACAGATTTAAAAGATTATAAATTGGAGATATTAGCCCATAATTTAAAAAAAAACTTAAAATGTTTATTTTAAACCGCTGCCATACAATGTGTATACTATAACGGTCTACCCCAACAGAAATGTTTTATTTGAAGTACAACTATACAGGCAAGGAAAATAAATAATACAGTCAAGTAAAGGCTGGGACACCACGTCTTTTCAATAAACCTTATTGGTAAAAAATTCTAAAGCTTAAAAAGTAAATTTGAAACAAACGAAACAAAAAGAAATGTACGTTGCAGAACAGTTTTCACATTAAAGAGTAAAATGTACAGTTTACACATTAAAGAGTAAAATGTACAGTTTACACATTAAAGTGTAAAATGTATAGGTTTCTTCTATTTTTAATCGTGTTTCAGTCTAGACTGTATAATTCAAAATTTGTTAAACTTACAGAGTTGTTTTGTTCTAATTTTTCATTCAAAACGCATCCGTCGAAAAAAGAGGTCAAAAGGGAAGATACAAAAAATTATGTTTAATAGGTCGAATTGTGATCAAAAGCCACAGCTTGTTAGTGCAAGGACCGAACTGTTAAATTACTGTAAATTGTAAATTGTACAGTGCCCTGTAAGTCGACAAGCATAATACATGTAATTGTACAATGAGCTACTGAATAAATGACAAATGACCTGTGTGCTTGTCATTAACTCAAATTTTCAATCACTATATCTTTGAAGTCTGATGATAGACGGTTTGATCTAACAGATTTCATAGTTTAAAATATCAAAGGTATATACGACATCTGGTTGCAAAGATAAAGGGATTTAACCATAGCTTATCTATGTTACGAACATTACCTAAGATTACTACAGTATTCCGGCAACAGACTTACCAAGACTAAGACCCGTAACAAGGTTTTCGGTGTTTTGAGTAGATTAATATCACAATAGCAGACTACAGCATGGAGAGGTCGGACTAGATGGCCGGGGGGACCGGATACCCAGTAGTCATCAGGGGGTTCCTAAACCAGATAAATCTAGATCAAGGGGGGAGCTTAACCAGAGAATCTATATAAGAAAGTCATGAGAAAAAAGTTTCTTGTCTGGAAAAAAATATATTATTTTGTGAAACAAGTCCAAATTTCAGAATTCCCTAGAAAAAATTTAACAGTGTTTTAGATTCCTAAAACTTTTTTATCACAGGACTTTTTTGGTGCCATGATATTTTAGGACTTTTTTCAGAGAATTTTTTTGGCGGTTACCTAAACCAGAGAAATCATGATAAAGGGGGGGGCAGGGGGTTCCTCGACAAGATAAATCTAGATNTACTACAAGGGGATCCTACACTAGATAGATCTAGATCAAGGGGGGGCAGTACTACAGGGGGATCCTACACTAGATAGATCAAGATCAAGGGGGGGGGGGCTATAGAGATATAATCCATGCAGACTAATGTTCATAAAATGTTCCTTGGGTAAAAGTTTAAAAATGTTACAGGTAAAAGTTTAAATGAATTTGATTTATTTTCAAATTTATATTGCCAGAAACCATGTAATCTTTTCATAATGGAATTGAGTCTTTGCCACAAAATCAAATTTCGAATCCCTATATCTTTGCAACCGAATTTCAAAGTCTTAAGATATTTCATAGTATGAATTCTGTTAGATCAAATAATCTAAGTTTGAAATATCAAAGGTTTCCACCTTGGGGTTACAAAGATTTAGGGATTACAAAATTTGAGTCTGTGGCAAAGACTTAATTCCTCTTTAAACATTTTAACGAGTATAAAGTATAAAGTTTGGATTATTCTGGCCCGCAGGAATATTGTTGAATGGTAAGAATGTATTTGTTGTGTTTCTCATTCCAAAAATTGGATTATTATATTATTTTCAAAGAAGTTAAACTTTTTTAAAGGTAATGGATATTGGTAGTTGGATATTAGTAGTTAAATGCAATCTACGGAAAGGGAACTGTATAGCAGAGACAAATAGCAGATAATCCATGCATTGAGACTTGTAAGGGACACACGAGGTAAGTGCTCATTGTTGATACAGACAACTTAAGGGTGAAATATTTTGGTTTATTTAATTTAGATTTTTATGGTTTCCTTGAACTGCTGGTAGTGTGTATGACTGTCCCAGGATCGGACGGAGAGAGTAGGAGAGGGCGGATCCTGGTTGGGCGGAATCTTAACTGGAGATACAGGGAATGTATTTAAACCTCCAAGCTGGGATCCGTCTATATCAAACTCCCTGTAGTCCTCTCTGTTAAAGGTTGCTAGTTCAAGTCTGTTTAGGTCCTGGAGTAAATCCTCTATTTCGTCCGGACCATATATATCCGACACGGAGTTCACCCAGTGTCGCGTTGCAGCCGAGCTTGCTGAAATGTCCGTTGCGACAGAAAATCTACCGAGACTACCCTTGCCGACACTGGCGCGACTGAGTGAACTGCGATCTATGCGCTCCGCGACGGAGCGCGGCATCTCATTGAATTTCATTCAGTGACGAACATTGTTTCCCTCCGCCCGAACAGTTTGTAAGTTCTTAGATTCATACTGAGGACTGGACATAACTTTTATCATAAACCATGCTTTAACTGTACATCATGGTGCCGTAAAGCAGACTAACACGACCGTATTAACTGTATAACATTGTTTCTTTTCACAAGCATCGGTTTCACCTATATTTCATCATGAATTTGCTTGCTTGTAATCAGATCACTTTAATAAACAGTTAGATTTTATCCCCATATTTTGCATATTTTTATTTGACAAAATGTTGCATTTATTGCCTTGTATTCGCTTAACTATGATTGGAAAGAGAAGATTTTGACTCCAGGTTCAGGTTTGGGTTTGGGAATTGAGAATATCCGGAAGATTTTCTAGGTTCAGAAAACACAAGGTCGGAGAAATCTTTCATTCTGTGCTATAGATTCAAACTGTAAGTTAAAAAAAACTGATGATATAGCAAGTTTGGGTGAGGGAGGGGGGTTTGTGGACGAGTAAGAGTAGAGGATATGGGGATACCCATAGGGGAGGGGTGAGGAAAAGTATAAAGAAGGGGTAAGGAGTAGTAAGGGTGGACAAGAAATAGTTAGATTATGGGAAGGAAGGATAAGGGTCAATAAGAAATAGTAAGACTATGGGAAGGTGAACAAGAAATAGTAAAATTATGAAAAGGAAGGGTAAGGGTAGATAAGAAATAGTAAGACTATGGGAAGGGTGAACAAGAAATAGTAAGATTATGGGGAAGGAATTGGAAGGATGGATAAGAAATAGTAAGACTGTGGGAAGGAATGGGATGTGTTAAGAAATATTAAGAATATGGGAAGGAAGGGTAGATAAGAAATAGTAGGACTATGGGAAGGCCAGGGGAAGGGTGGATAAGAAGTAGTAAGACTTTGTAAAAGGAGGGGTAGGGCGGACAAGACAAAGTAAGATTATGGAAAGAAATAGGAAGGGTGGGAGGGGAAGGGTGGACAAGAAATAGAAGATTATTGGGGAGGAATGGGAAGGGTGGATAGGAAAAGAAAGACTAGAAAGGAAGGGTAGGGTGGATAGATATGAGTAAGACTAACGGGAGAGGGGAAGAGAAATGGGGGTGGGGGGAAAGAAACGGAAATGTTGAAACAGGAAGGAAACCATTAAGAAACAAACTGAGAAGAAAGATAAAGATCAGGGTATGGAAATTAGTAAGAAAGAAATATTAAAAAGATTAAATAGGAAGAAAAAAGAGAAATGGGTTTTGTAAGGGGTTAAGTTACGACAATTTGCACGAAAGGTTTTTCATTTAAATCCGCCTAAATCTGCAAACTTAAGGAAACATAGAAAAAAGCAACAAAAAAGAAAGAACACCTAAAATGAAATTCCAAAAAAAGCTTTGAAACAGAAAGTACACAATGTTATCCGTGTTTTCGTCCAAAAAGATTCGTTGTCGGTTAAAAAGCAAAAAATGTATATAAAAATGAAATAAGAGTTTAATCTACTAGTATTCCTGTTTAGTTCCTTTATAGCGAAACTGAATGAAACCAAGGATGGAATAAAATCATTTTTCTGAAAAATGAAATACTGTTAAATAATTGTGAAGGTTTAGAACATACAGATAAAGAGTAGAAGAGCAGTAAATTTTCAAAGCTTAGTTCCTCCAACACAAACATATAAGAATTATTTATTAACGCAGAACTTACACTTTTAAAAAATATAAAATTCATTCACTCATTCATTCTAGTTCTTGAGTTCTAGATTTCTAACACTAAATAGTTCTATATCTGTAGTTCTAGATCTGTAGTTCAAGATCTGATGTCTAGATTTCTATAGTTCTAGATCTGTAGTTCTAGATCTGAAGTTCTAATCTTGTTGATCTAGATCTGTAGTTCTAATCTTGTTGATCTAGATCTGTAGTCCTTGATCTTATGTATAGATCTCTATAGTTCTAGATCTGTAGTTCAAAATCTGATGTCTAGCTCTCTATAGTTCTAGATCTGTAGTTCTAGATCTAAAGTTCTAATTCTGTAGATCTAGATCTGTAGTTCTAGATCTGATGTCTAGATGTCTATAGTTCTAGATCTGTTATTCTAGATCTGTAGTTCTAATTTTGTAAATCTAGATCTGTAGTTCTAGATCTGATGTCTAGATCTCTATAGTTCTAGATCTGTAGTTCTAGATCTGTAGTTTTAGATCTAAAGTTCTAGATCTGTAGCTCAAGATCTCTATAGTTCTAGATTTGTAGTAATATATCTGCAGTTCTAGATCTAATGTCTAGATCTCTATAGTTCTAGATCTGTAGTTCTAGATCTGTAGTTCTGGATCTGTAGTTCTAGATCTGATGTTTAGAACTCTATAGTTCTAGATTTGTAGTTCTAGATCTGTAGTTTTAGATCTGTAATTCTTGATCTGTAGTTCTAGATCTGTAGTTCTGGATCTGTAGTTTTAGATCTGTAATTCTAGATCTGCAGTTCTAGATCTGTAATTCTAGATCTGTAGTTCTGGGCCTGTAGTTTTAGATCTGTTGTTCTAGATCTGATGTTGTTGATCTGTAATTCTATCGAGATATAACATAATAGAATCTGCAGCTATTTACCTAGAACTGTGGTTCTAAATCTGCAGCTGTGTGTAGAGAACTGTGTTTCTGAATCTGTAGGTATGTATTTAGATCTGTAATTCTAAATCTGTAGTTCTGGACCTGTAGTTTTAGATCTGTTATTCTAGATCTGATGTTGTTGATCTGTAATTCTATCTAGATATAACATAATAGAATCTGCAGCTATATATCTAGAACTGTGGTTTTAAATCTGCAACTATGTATCTAGAACTATGGTTCTGAATCTGCAGCTATGTTCTGGAACTATGGTTCTAAATCTGCAGCTGTATATCTAGAACTATGGTTCTGAATCTGCAGCTATGTATCTAGAACTATGGTTCTGAATCTGCAGCTATGTATCTGGAACTATGGTTCTAAATCTGCAGCTGTATATCTAGAACTATGGTTCTGAATCTGCAAGTGTATCTAAAACTATGGTTATGAATCTGCAGCTGTATATCTAGAACTATGGTTCTGAATCTGCAAGTGTATCTAAAACTATGGTTCTGAATCTGCAGCTGTGTATCTAAAACTATGGTTCTGAATCTGCAGCTGTATATCTAGAACTATGGTTCTGAATCTGCAGCTGTTATCTAAAACCAGGATTGTGAATTCCAAATAAAAAAATCTATGTATCTAGAACTATGGTTCTGAATCTGCAGCTGTATATCTAGAACTATGGTTCTGAATCTGCAGCTGTGTATCTAAACCTATGGTTCTGAATCAGCAGCGGTGTATCTAAAACCAGGATTGTGAATTCCAAATAAAAAAATCTATGTATCTAGAACTATGGTTCTGAATCTGCAGCTATTTATTTAGAACTATGGTTCTGAATCTGCAGCTATTTATTTAGAACTATGGTTCTGAATCTGCAGCTATATATCTAGAACTGTGATTCTGAATCTGCAGCTATGTATCTAGAACTGTGGTTCTGAATCTGCAGCTATGTATCTAGAGCTATGGTTCTGAATCTGCGGCTATGTATCTAGAACTGTGGTTCTGAATCTGTAACTATGTATCTAGAACTATGGTTCTGAATCTGCAGCTATGTATTTAAGGCTATGGTTCTGAATCTGCAGCTATATATGTAGAACTGTGATTCTGAATCTGCAGCTATGTATCTATAATTATGGTTCTGAATCTGCAGCTGTGTATCTAGAACTATGGTTCTGAATCTGCAGCTATTATCTAGAATTATGGTTCTGAATCTGCAGCTATGTATCTAGAACTATGGTTCTGAATCTGCAGTTGCGTATCTATAATTATGGTTCTGAATCTGCAGCTATGTATCTAGAAATATGGTTCTGAATCTGCAGTTGTATATCTAGAACTATGGTTCTGAATCTGCAGCTGTATATCTAGAACTATGGTTCTGAATCTGCAGCTGTATATCTAGAACTAATGGTTCTAAATCTGCAGCTGTATATCTAGAACTATGGTGCTGAATCTGCAGCTATGTATCTAGAACTATGGATCTAAGTCTGCTGTTCTGTACCTAGAACTATGGTTCTGAATCTGCAAGTGTATCTAAAACTATGGTTATGAATCTGCAGCTGTATATCTAGAACTATGGTTCTAAATCTGCAGCTGTATATCTAGAACTATGGATCTGAATCTGCTGTTCTGTATCTAGAACTATGGTTCTGAATCCGCAAGTGTATCTGAAACTATGGTTCTGAATCTGCAGCTGTATATCTAGAACTATGGTTCTGAATCTGCAGCTGTGTATCTAGAACTATGGTTCTGAATCTGCAGCTGTATATCTAGAACTATGGTTCTGAATCTGCAGCTGTGTATCTAAAACCAGGATTGTGAATTCCAAATAAAAAAATTGAATCACAATGTTTGAGATTAAATGAAGGTTCAGCTGGTTTCCTTCCTTTGCATGATAACTTTTCCTTTCTCAGCTACCTCTCTATCTATCTATCTATACTTCTAACATTTTTCTATCTATCTATCTATCTATCTATCTATCTATCTATCTATATATCTATCTATCTCTCTATCTATCTAACATTTTTCTATCTATCTATCTATCTATCTATCTATCTATCTATCTATCTATCTATCTATCTATCTATCTATCTATCTATCTATCTATATATCTTTCTATCCATCTATCTATCTGCCTTTCTATCTATCTATCTATCTATATATATCATATATCTATGCTTTATATCTATCTATCTATCTATATATATCATATATCTATGCTTTCTATCTATCTATCTATCTATATATATCATATATCTATGCTTTCTATCTATCTATCTATCTATATATATCATATATCTATGCTTTCTATCTATATTATATTGGCCGAAGGTTGGAACGTACTTTGCATTATTTATTCCTTTTAAAAATAACTATAATTCCTATTAGGCTATTATGTGTTAATTGAATTAGTTATTATCATCTTCATATCTCCGTGTGAACTAGACAGAAAGAAAGGTAAATTGTATGCAAAACTACTTCATAGGAAGACTTTGTGACATCGTAGCTCCTATAGATTTTACGGACAAGTATGAGAAAAGCATATTTATCTGGTTACATTAAAAAAAATATTGTTGGGTTTTCCATCAAATATATGAAAGAATCTAAAAATCCTCCGTCACGGAGAATACAGGAAATTGAGTGATGGGGAAAGGGAGAGGAGGTGGAGGAGGAAAACTGGAGGTGTAGGAGGAAAGGGGGAGGAGGAAAGGGGGAGGTGAAGGAGGAAAAGGGCAGGTGGAGAAGGAAAGGTGGACAAGAGGAGGTGGAGGATGAAAGAGGGATGAGGGGATTAGGAAAAGGGTGGTGGAGGAAAGGGGGAGATGAAGGAGGAAAGAAGGAAAGGGGATGGT